ACATGATTGCACGGGCCCGCCTAGTGCGTGTTGCCAATGATTTTATTCAAAATTTTTTAAACTTGATGAAAACAAGCTTTTTCTACTGCTGCCTGTAAATCTCACGTATAATAATCCTTAAGATATTATCCGAGAATTTGATATTATTGAAGGACTTGCTATTAACCCTAGACATAGCGAACATCAAGATTGCCAGTAGGCTTACCATCAGGTGATGAAACACTGGTCAAAGCAACTAGAAACAGCTGAAGTACTGAGTTACGAATTATAGCCAATCCAAAAATTTCAAAAGTAGCATGGGTGCAGCTTCCAGAAAAATGTGTGTTTACACTAAAATTATGTACATTTTTATAATTCTTGTAAACCGGAAGAAACGTGGCGCACATACTAAACAAAAGCGGTAAGTACATTTCAAACGCAGTCGCATTCTGAGTACAACTGCACCGCAGAAGCATCGGGAAAACCAATCTGACTACTTCTTAAAATATTTAGATTAGTTGCAGTGCATAGTCTGGATCATATCCCCCTTCCCCTGTCGTCGGTACATCGGAAGCCTCACTACCCACCCCTCCCAACTTCGCCGACCGGTCCTAAATTGCGGCAATGACTAGGGGGCAGGGGAGGAGGGAGGATAGCGGGAAATGAAATTGGGGGCGGGGAACACCCATCGCCCCTTCCTCCTGGATCCCCCCAGTGGCCTGTATCTTCAACTGCACAGCTCGCAACTTTCCAACTGTTTCGACTAGTGCTGCATCGGCTGACATTAGTTTGGCACTGAAGATCTTTAAGTTCGTTTCATCTTCAGAAAGTAACACCAACTCCGCGATTCTCCAGATCGCAGAACAAGGAATAAAAGTAAAAAAAGCCAACTTTGGTGGTGAAATGAGCAGAATGACAAGTATGTAAGCATGAGTTGCGATTACTTCCACAACAAAATATATAAATTTAATTCGGATTGCTCGTTTAAGATAAATTATACGATCCAAGACAATCTGCAAAATACATTCAGATACACAAACATTTACATAATAAGTAAAATCATCGGTAGGGTTGGTACAGCTGTGCCCAGCGTACGGGGGCTCGAGAGGTATCAAAAACAACAGACCTTTAAAAAATTTGAAGAATTTTTAGACACTGTCCAAAAAAAAGACTTTTGAACACGAGAATATTTAAACTTAGTTCAGTTTCAAATTTTTCCTTAAATAAGTAGAATTGTTCTACTATTCCGAAATCTGGAAGCTTCAGATTAGATAGCGTACAAGAAATAAATGAACTAGTTGTTGAACTGTTCTGCGAACTGACAGACCTTCTAAAATCGCAAGCCTCGTTTCTGTTATCTCAATAACGAGATTTTCTGGCAGCTAGCGTACAAAATACTGAGAAGACGAAGCTAAAGTCAGAATCACCAAACGGGCTGAACGAGCGATTTCCATCGCTCACACAAGCCCTGGCTGCTGACATGGAGCCTCGACTTTACTGCCCTGTTATCCGAGCGACGGAAATAGTTCGGACAACATCCCAGCAAAATCAAAGCTCTGCTACCAACAGCTCGGTTTGTATTAAATCGATTGTGATGAAATTCGGAGATAAAAGACGTACCATGCTGATACCTGCCATGAAATAGTAAACGAAGGAATCCGGCAACAGACTGGAGCTGTCTTTTGTTAGCGTGAATGCTTCGCGTCTGGCAATATCAAAATCCGAAAAACTTATAATCATAATGATAAATGCTGCGATGTCGGATAGGATTAGACATGAGTAATAATCGTAAGGGTTATGCTGCTGCAATCTGAAGATATCCAACAGCACTGATATTGCGCAGCATCGATGCTCATCTGAAAATGATAAATGCACGCAGGTTTTCTTGACTTTATAGTAAATCC